ACATTTAATATGCCACCAGTATTGACCGTGTTCCCGGAATCATGTTCCGATAATGATGACAATAACACGACAACCACCAACTCATATCCCGTGACACCGACTACATTAGCGGCATCACCGGTATCATTTACACTCGTTCAACATTATGAAGACGTGAATAATTTTAAGCACGAAAATCATGAAAATAATCGACCTATAACACCACCACTTGAAAAAGAACAACAAACGAAAACCACCAATACAAGCAAAAGGCGCAGTAAAAGAACACGAGAAGAATACCTCGCGAAATTTAAATTACCAATTAATGGAATTGCAACTAGAACACGAAACCGAACTCAAAATACTACTGCGGTTGAACAACAACAACAACAACAACAAGGGAATGAAGAAAATTATAGACAACAATATACCCTTGGATATTTCCTCGAACGAGCCGCACCAATTCCGGAACTTTATTCCGGATTTATTGATGATAATTTATGTAGACCCATAAAAAGGATATGCATAGGATCTTACGGACCTAGCCGAGCAAACACGGAGGAAACCGATGAGCACGTGAGAGATCGCCCAAATAAGTTAAATGATAACGACAATGACAAGCACCATAAAGATCATAAAGATAATAAAAATGGTAACGACAATAATGACAATAAAGATTATAATAAAGATTACAATAAAGATAAAGATGATAACAAGAATCAAGATAAAGATAACCATAAAGATAAGGATGATAAAGATAACAAAGATCAAATTACCGCAGTTAGTAGTACAACGGGAGTAGTGAAAAGTAAGAATCCGAATTATCCGATTCCAATATCTAAAGAAGAAGTAAGAAAAAAATGGAGTACGGATAATCAAAAAACATTTCTCGCAACATATTTATGCAATGGAAAAGATTTTGCTGGTATTGCACAAAAAACCGGAAAAAAATCTACCGAAGTAGTAGAATATTATTATATGTTTAAACATAATAAGGATTTTAGAGCAGCTAAAGAAATGATGAGAGAAAATCAAGCATATGAAGAATATCTTGGATCAATCGAAGCAGAAATGAAAGCTATTGAAAAAATGGCTCAATCTTATGCACCAAAATTTTCTGGTAAGAAGAAAGGCGTACCCGGACGACCAAAAAGATCCAATGGAAAATCAAAATCAAAAAAATAATTTTCTTGATTTTTTTTTTTTTTTTGTATTTAGCTTCTTTTTTTTTTTTGTATATTTTGTCTTAACATCGTTTACATTGTTTGAAACATTTTTCTTTTATTAACTTTTTTTTTTTATTACCTTTATAACTTTTTATTACTTTTATTAGCTAACATTTTTCTTTTTATTAGTTAGCATAAGTTTTTTTCTTTCTTTTTTAACTGGCATTTGTTTTTTTTCTTTTATTTGTAAAAATTTTTATTTTCTTTTTTTTAAAAAAAAAAAAAAAAGAGAAAACTTAGAATTCGTTTCTCTCTTTAGCTCGTAAGCTTGTAAGCTTGTAAAAAAATGTAAAAAAAAAAAAAAACATTTTACAATTTCTTATTAAGTATTTTATCATTTATAAAAACAATTATATCTCGCTCTTTTCTCGCATTTGTCTTGTGTTATTCATATTTGTATATATTGTATTGTATATCGTGTGTTATTCATATTGGTATATATTGTATTGTATATCGTGTGTTATTCATATTGGTATATATTGTATATCGTGTGTTATTCATCTTTGTATATATTGTATATCGTGTGTTATTCATCTTTGTATATATTGTATATCGTGTGTTATTCATATCTTGCATTTCTTGCGCTTCTTGTGCTTCTTGTGCTTCTTGTGCTTCTTACAATTCTTGCACTTGTCTCATTTGTCCCACTCGTATGATGATTGCATATCGAATACATCTTTGCATATACATTCCGCAGCTCGGAAAACCGCAGCTCGGAAACTCGTATTGTACGCAGTCGGAAAACATTGTGCAGATTACACTAATACATATATGCTATGAGATACCTAATTCCCCATATGTAGTCCTCATTAGAGATTACAGATTGCTTTGTTAGAGTACATATAATGTAAGAATATATGGTTTTCCCTTGATGACCAAATCAGGATTACCTTAATAACGAGAACATGTGACAATTTCGAAGTAGCGCATTGGGATAAAAAAAAAGGTCTCTTTTTTTAAAAAAAATACGTACGTTATACGTACGTACTAGATACGCACGTTTACCTTTACGTACGTACGTACGTAAGTTCTTTTGTAAGTTTGTAAGTTCTTGTCGTATTTTATAAAGTTAATAAAAAAATTAAAAAAAATTAAATCATACGTTAACCACATGACCCAAGTATTGTATTGTATTGCTCCTAATGCTCCTAATGCTCCTAACGTTATTAATGTTGCATTTTAAGGAGTAATTTTAAAAAGATCGTAACGTAGTAAAATGTGAAAAAATACTTGAATGAACATTTTTTTGGTTTATTAAAAGAAATACATATATATTGTTTTGTTTCATAATTTTCATATTTCATAATGAGTCGTTCATACAGATTAACATATATAAAAAAGAACCCTGAACATTAATTAGATTAATGGAAATAAATTTATAAAGAATACAAATTAATTTGTTTAAACATAGTACTAGGACTAGTACTAGATCTAGTACTAGAGCTAGTTACCAGTCTAGTACTGTATTAGAGCTAGTACCAGAGCTGGTACCAGAGTAAGCATATATATGTAATGCAAGTGTAGTACTGTTATCATGCGCATGCACAATAATGGTTCTCGTGAGAATAATCATAGTTAGCGTTATTACCAAAATCACGTAACAGGCTTGATCTAAAAACAGGTTTTTTTTATCATCTGAATAATTTTTTTTTTACGCGAAAGATAATTATATATATATATACGTATATATTGAAATACATATTAAATTTATTAAATTTGTTAATTAAATCTGTATAAAAAAGAATTATAAAAAGAAATGTGA